ACCTTTATGAAAAGATGCCACCTCAATATGAAGGAAAAGTTTGAATAATTGGGTGCTTGTATATTGGAAATAACTTGTTACATATTGTGTTATAAAATCCTATAACCCTATTTAGAAGTGTTGATAACTTGTTGAAATGATCTTAAAAGTACATTGTTATATACAATTTCAAGAAATGGCTTCTCAATTTCAACAAACTTACCAAAGAGGAAAAGGATCAGATGGAGCAGCAACAAGTACCATCGAACCAGAGATAATAAAAGATAATTGTAAAACTGAAAGTACAAGCAAGAATCACGATATAGAACGCTCATGAAGAACGATTTACTAGCTATATTAAAAAAGAAAATAGCGAAGAGACAGCCCGACTGATAAATACTCCCAAAGGTCAACATATAGGGATAGAAGCTAATGACATACTTTCCAAGGAAGTTAATAAAACCTTTATGAGCACTAAATCAACGACATTCAAAGGTGAACCTAAACCCACAAAAGCATGGACCAGTTGATCGGAGTAGGAATCAACTTTGAAACATGTTAATATTCGAAAACGCAAAAGGTAAGGAATGCAACTACCTTACTATAGGAAGAGACATTGCATGTGTGGAACTCGGTAAAGGCTATAAAGAATACTGCTAAAACTACACCTATGTTATGGGATCAGTTGAAAAAAAAATTGAATGAATATTGTTTAGCTATACACCGTAAATATATGAACAGGAGTTCCTTCAGTTTAGACAAGGAAACCTATCATTATAAGAATACGTGTCTCAATTCGTAAAGAAGTCAAGATTTGCTGAACATTAGGTAGCAACAGAAGCAAGGAAAACAAATTGTTTTGTTATAGGATTAAGAAACGAAATTTGAAGGTTTGTACTAGTTGGACTACCCGAAACATTTCAGAAAGAAGTCAACATCGCTATGGTAGTCGAGAAGGATATGGTATCTAGATATCAGGACCCCTTCCAATTAAAGCGAAAAGAACAAAGTGTCAATCAGAATTGAAATAAGAAACCAAAGCTTCGTGTTTGGAATTTTGTGCAAGTAAATCAAAAGAAACCTTGTGATCATTGTGGTACGAATCGAGTGTTGCGCAAAAACTGGAGCATGTTTTTGGTGTGGGAAACAAGGCATCTGAAACGGGATTATTCTCAAGGTAACCGGGCCAAAATAGAAACCAACCACAGGTCCACAACCTGAGGTTAACAAGAATATCAGAGAGGGTAATAAGGGAAAAGCAAAAACTTAAGACCTTTCAAATGATGGAAAAAAAGGTGAATGAAACACCGGATGTAGTGTGACAGGGACACACTTTATCAATAATCAACTTGTTCGTATCTTGATTGATTGTAGTGCAAGTAACTCTTATATGTCCCTTTCATTTTCTCAAAAGTTGAAAGTAGATAGTAAGGAATTAAAACCAGACTTTGAGATTGAACGAGCTGACGGGAGCCATGTTAGGATCAACCAAGTATGTGGAGCTTGCACGATAGAAATTGATGGACATCAAATGCCCGTTGACTTAATACCCATGACTTTGGGTGAATTCGAGGCGATAGTAGGAATGGATTGGTTGCGGAAACACCATGCCAAGATCATTTGTGATCAAAAGAAAATAGTAGTAAAAGGGGACAAACAGAAAACTAGGATGATGCTAGTAAGTTCGGCTAGAGCACAAAGTTGTATGTAGGAAGGGTGCCCAACATTCTTAGCATATGTTATCGGTGAAAGAAAAAAAGAAACGATAGAAGCAAAAGATATACCGGTTGTTAAGGAGTATTTAGATGTGTTTCCAGTAGATTTGCCTAGGTTGCCTCCCAACAGGTTCAATTTGGGATTGACCTAATGCCTACACCGTACCAATAGCCAAAACTCCATACCGTTTAGCTGCATCTGAAATGGAAAAACTGAGAAATCAGTTACAAGAGTTACTCGATAAAGGTTTCATCAGAGAAAGTACGTCACCTTGGGATGTATCAATCCTCTTCGTTACGAAAAAGGACGAGTCAATGCGCATGTGTCTCGACTATCGAGAATTAAATAAACAAATAGTGAATATTAGATATCCCCAACCTAGAATTTTGATGATTTGTTCGACCAACTGCAAGGCGCCAAGTGCTTCTCAAAATCAATTTGAGGTCGTGACACCATCAACTAAACGTTAAGAGTGAAGATATTCCCTAAACGGCATTCAGAACAAGATATGACCATTATGAATTTTTGGTCATGCCCTTTGGGTTGACAAATGCACTTGCTACCTTTGTGAAGTTGATGAATCGAGTATGTAAAACCATATCTCGATATGTTTGTGAGTGTGTTTATAGATGACATTCTCATTTATTCCAAGAATGAGGGTGAACATCAAAAACATTTACATGCAATGCTGAGTCTTTTGAGGCTAGAGAAGTTTATGCAAAATTTTCAAAGCGAGAATTTTGGCTCAAGGAAGTTCAATTTCTCGGGCATGTGGTTAATGAACAAGGAATACAAGTAGATAATGCTAAGGTGAGTGCCATTATGAAATGGGATGCTCCCACAAGTGTTTTTGGAGTTCTCTAGTATTAGCAGGATATTAGCTTTATCCAAGACTTCTCCAAAATAGCATCTCCAATAATGGTATTGACAAGAAAAGGTAAAAGTTTGAATGGGGAAAAGAGCAAGAACAAGCTTTTCATACATTAAAAAGATAGCTAAGTGGTACACCCATTATGTCACTACCCAAGTGGACGAAAAGATTTATAGTATACAACGATGCTTCAAGACTGGGACTAAGTTGTGTACTTATGCAATACGAAAAGGCTAACGAGAGGATATATCCGGCACGTGATTTAGAACTTGTTGCAGTTGTATTTGCACAGTTGATTTGGCGTCATTACCTTTATGGTACTCACTACATCATCTATACTGACCACAAGAGTCTCCAATACTTGTTTAGTCAAAAAGACTTGAACATGAGACAACAACGATGGATGGAATCACTTAAAGACTATGATTGTGAAATTCGATATCATCCTGGCAAAACTAATGTGGTAGCAGATGCATTGAGCAGAAAGGAATACAAGAGGCCAACACGAGTTAAAGTGTTAAGAATAGATGTGATGCCTGAATCATTAGAAAGGATAAAAGAAGCTCAGACTAGTGCACTTACGAAACATATTAAGGAAGAGCTTATGGTAGGGCAAGCAAAATTCCTAGAAACTTATAACAAGGAGTGAAAAAAAAATTCATGGAAGATTGTGGATTCCATTAGCAAGGGGTCATTATCGGGTCTTGTTAACTAAGGCTCATAAGTCCAAATACTCCATTCACCCGCACACAGATAAGATGTACCAAGATTTGAAGTTACTAGATGCATTGAGCAAGAAAGAATATTAAAAGCTGACACGAGTTGAGGCGTTAAGAAAATAATGTGATGCCTAAATTTTTTTAGTAAGGATAAAAGAAGCTCAGACTAATGCACTTACAGAACATATAAAGGAAAAGCAAGATAGTAAAAGTTGTAAATAAGAGACTAGGGAAGTTAAACCAAGAAGAAAAAGGGAGAATAGAAAAGTAAAAGCTCCCAAATATTAGCCCTTAACTAGTTTTTGTTTTTTGGTTGTAATTCTATTGGTTGTAATTCTATCTTTACAAGAGAAGCATCCATTCAAAGATACAAGTGAGAAAATCCTTTAGGATATTATGTGGTATTATTGTATTGTGATAATTAGGAATATGTTTAGTTGCTGTAAATATAGCCTAAAAACCCTCTGTAATTATTTTATATATTGGCCAATCATGAATGGAATCAACAACGAGTACCAACTTTCATGGTATCAAAGCTCACTAATCATATTCCTGATTATCACAAAACAATAATATCACATAATATCCTAAAGGATATTCTCATATTCAATAAGAGACACATTTTCTCTTAGAGTGTGTGTATATAGACACACACACACACACACACACACATATATATATATATATATATTTGTAGGCATATATATAGAGGTAGGTTCATACGAGAATGATACCTATTTAAAAAAAATAAGAAAATGGCCAAATTACATATAAAATCACATGTGGTTTTACATTAACGGCCAAAAAAGTGTTCGGATGACCCTATGGCTGCGTGGCAAGGTTGCATGAATCACATGCCATTTTGTATGTGAGGTTAGTGTAAAATCACATGTGATTTGGCTATTTTCTTATTTTCTTAAATAGATAACATTCTTGTATGAACCCAATTCTCTATATATATGTGTGTGTGTAGATTCGGGTTCATACGAGAATGGTACCTAGTTAAGAAAATAAGAAAATGGCCGAATCACATGTGATTTTACATTAACATCACGTACAAAAATCACATGTGATTCACGCGACCTTGCCATGCGGCTATAGGGTCGCCCGAACACTTATTTGGCCGTTAATGTATAATTCATGTAATTTTGTACATAATTTGGCCATTTTCTTATTTTCTTAAATAGGTACCATTCCCTTATGAACCTACCTCTATGTGTGTACATATATGTGTGTATACATATATATATATATATGTGTGTATACATATACATATGTGTGTGTGTGTGTTCGCATGCATGCACACACTTATATGTGTGTGTATCAGAAAAGCATTGCCAATGGTGGTTTTTGCTTAATAGTAGGATGCATTACATAAGACAAGGAACACTCGTTGGGTTAAGATAGTAGAGATTCTCGATCATGCATAAAGGAACAAAATTTTGGATGAACTGAATAAAATATGAATCTTGGTTTTTCTCTATAAGACTATAACATATATCAAGCTCTTCATATATAAGCCATACAGCTGGATCAACCATATTAACACCATATATAAAAAGTCATGTATCATGGACAAAGAAGAAATGTTACAAATTTGAACTCCAAATAGAAGAAAAAGAGCAAACGGCAAGACAGAAAATCTTATTGTTATTTAACAGCAATAACAAAGGTATATGAGAACATGCAAAATAGTGATGGAAATAGAAGATTACCTAAAGAGCTTTGAAGGACCTGAGTAAGCTTGCTGTTTCTGAACGGAACATGAACGCTTTTCTGAGACAAGGAGAAGAAGACATCTCCAAGGGCAGCTAGGGATTTGTTTATATGTTGTGCTTCCTTAAGCCTGTCCCCAATCACCTCAGAGCGGTCTATTCTTTCGCTTCCTGCAAGATCTACCAGATGAAGACTACCATGTAAAGAGACACCTGTCTGCAGTTCCGTTCCATGAACATGGATGGTTACAACACTGTGCATGCAAATCCACATCAGACAACTGAAATTTATACATCAAGCATATTCTAAAGACCACCTTCGACATTCAGAAGGGAGATAAATTAGACTTATGCGGTTAAATGAACTGGGTTTCACTTCTGAAAAGTGATGAAGCCTTTTCGCCAAAAAAAAAAGAAATTAATGATCACATTAAACTTTATAAGCAATAGTATATACACAATTGTGTTGGTATTAAACTTAGTAACAAACTCTTAAAAAGCTAAAATTTCTGACCTCAAATGTCATAAAGCAACTCCTAGAACGGAGAGAATACATCTTAATTCATGAAATAAAGTACCTGTGGGATCTGCTGCTTCTTTCGTTCATGGCAGTAGTACTTCTAGCTCTGTTTTTAAATCCAATTTCCATTACTCCCATAACATCAGATGGCTCATTGACCTGACGCATGTTAGCATCCGGAACAGCTAAACCACTGTTTTGTGCAGAGACTAAAATCCCAAGTGTTCGCAAGTCAAGGAATAAATTTCACCAAAAAAAGGAGATGCTATGTTTCTTAAATTTACTAAACGCAAGATTTTAAAACGCTGTCAGGTGATATTGAGATCGAATAAGTTCTAGATGTTGGTCTCTCCAAGTGAATATGTGAACGATATACATTGAGAGTCCTGGTGTCATTGTCTCAGTAGGTTTATATAACACTTCTTAACATCAGAAAGATCTACGAAAGGACCCCCAACAATTCACATATTTTCGCCATAGACACCAAAACTACATTTTCTAGCCAGCCAAAACAAACTATATGTTAGATAAAAAAGACGTCAAATTGAGGAAATAAGTCAGCAGTTTGAGAGCATTCGACTCAATATCTAATGCCTGGAGTAGTTTTGGTTTTTCAGTAAGCATGCTCACTTATATGCCAATGGACTTGTATAGAAGGATATTTTTTTTGAGATGTATCATTTGCTAGCAAGTCTCTGACTTGTTCATTATATATTTCAACCATTTGAACCCCCACTTCATAGTTGCAAGTGCTTTTTCTACTTTGGGAAATTTTGAAAAGATCATTTAGAGCACGATAATTGACTCCCCAATCTTCTTCAGAACCATTATCTGGGCCACTCTATGTAAACAAATCATTGAAGAATGTCAGCCACAACTAAGAAACTAATAACAAAAATAACATCAAAGATGGATATTCAAAGAAAGCTTTTTACCATTGTATAGGTTTTTCCAGCTCCAGTTTGACCATATGCAAATATACACACATTGTATCCATCTAATACAGATCGTATCAGTTGCTGTATATCTCCATATACCTCAGCTGCCAACATCCAAGGAAAAATGTCAGTAAATTTGCATGTTTCCCAGTAGTGCAAAACTTCAATCAACTTTTTAAGATAAAAAATTTATAACACAACTTGTAAAGGTAACCCTGTCAAGCAGTAAAACGCATCGTTCAACAAGTAGAAAACCACAAAACTCAAGTACAAAGCAAAAAACCTTGAGTAGCACGTGGACCATAGACCTTATTGAACTTGAATGACCTTCGACTTTCTTTCCCTGGTTTGGAGGGATTAACAATAATTATCTCCCCATTTTCACCAATATAATCAACGGTTGTTTGTTTATCCTTTTGACCAGGAAGAAATGGTCTTATCCGACAGTAAACCCTGATATTTCCTGTTCACCGAAAATCTCATGAGTGCAATGCAAGATTGTGCACATCAATAGGAAGACATATTATCATAAATGAACCTTTTAATTCTTGAATTTCATTGTGTAGTTTCCGATTTTCAGAAATGGCTACTTGATAGCTTTCTGCTGCATCTTGCAAAACTTTAACCTTTGTCCCTAATCAAGCAGAGACTTATTCATGAGATAATGTGATTACAAGGCACTAAAAAGAATGATGAATGTATTTCTAGAACAACCCAAACCTAAGCGATCAAAATCCTCTGAGTAGGTCTTCTGAGATTTTAGAAATTCCTGGCGGACTGATTGAGAAGCAAATCTTAGTTCCTGAAAGATAACTTGGATTATATCACACATATGACATAAAAGTCCAGGTATTAGTGATATCATCATAGCCTACCTTCAGTGCACCAAGTTGAAATTCTGTAAATGTTTTGTAAATGTGCTCCTTCTTGTTCCACCAATGCATTTTAGACTGAGAATTAGCCTCAAGCTCTTGCACCTTCATCTTTGACTTATTCAAAAGACTTTCAACTTCCCTCAACTTTTCCTCAAGACCTACTTGAGCTTTTCTACCAGCTGCTTCTATTTGCAAGCAGTGCTCTTCATGTTTTTTCCTGGCTTTCTCCAGTTCTTGTTTCAAAGCTGCAATTTCAGCACTTTTGCTATCCTTCTCTTCCATTATTCTCTCCACATCCTGCTCCTCATTTTGCTTCTCCTCATGGGAATTCGTGTTCTCTGTCTGAAACATTATGAAATACTTCAGAAAGATGGAATATAATTATAGAGAGACACAAAAAACAAAATCTAATGTGAAAACAAGACAGTACAGAGGCCGCAAAATGAACTTGTATTGGTTTACAGTTATAATGCTGTAGATCTAAAATAAGCTATAAACTTTGAACTGTGTAGTCTTGATTCACTTTGGATTGTGTGGTCCTGATAACCTTTTAGCTATGGGTAAAATTGCACAAGATCTAAATCATTCAGCAACTTTCTATCACTCATTGTTAATTTAAGCTAGGAATGTCATTCATGATTGGACCAGGATTTAAGTAGGTTCAAGTTTGTATTATGGATTTTTACAAATGTGTCAACACATTTCTTTCTTACATTTTGAGCTTGTTTGTTGAATGTTTGATGTCACACTCCATATCAAAGACATGAATTCTAAACAGAATACATCAAACCCGGTAAACTAAACCAAACGAAACCAAGCATAGCCATTATGTCCCACCCAAAAGTAGGGTGTATTGAGAGGCTAGATGTATGCAGACCTTACATGTGTTTTCGTGAAGACCCCTGGTAGTATCACCTATATACTATGTCGAAGTATTACAGTTACTCTCTCTCTATCTCTCTATAGCGAAGAACTTTTGCACATACTTTTCCTTTCTTGTGAAAACTTAAATTTCTCTTTGAACTTTGAAGCATTCTATTATGACACTTTCACTGTGGCCACAATATTTAATTAATTACAGTTATCCCTTTTCTTCCTCTTATGCATTCTGTTACTTTACTTGACATGCATGCACCATATGTGTAAGCCTAGAGCCTAATGATATCATGGTTTCAAACATGCACTATGAAGCATAAAATGTCTTTCACAAGTATACATGTTCTCTAGAAAATGTAGTTTGTTAAACTTATACACGACTTTGCATATATGTAGCATAAACTTTATCAAAACGTGCATATTTCAAAACTACACCCTAACTGTGTATACTGTAACATTGTGAATTGTATCATTGAATTATTAGCTTTGCTTACGCATCGTGAACTAACCATGGTTTCCCGCTATACTATTCCCTTGGCGTCCCAAAAGTGTGCGTTCATAGGCGTAGCCATAACATATTTTCATATATTTAATCTATCCCATACTATGCAATTTCATACATTAACAAAAAAACTATACACATATGTCATGCAATTTCATACTATGCAAGAAAACTATAAACATTTATCTTGTACAAATACAATACTTCAACATGTATCTCAGTTTGAGAAAAGCACATAAACTCACCTGTAAAACTAGGCCCTTTTGGCTATTTCTTGTTCTCATAACGTCAACCTACAAGAATAACAACAATCCATAAGTACCTTGACCAAACCTTAACAGAGTATTTGGTTGTCTATGCCTACCGATCTCTTCACAAATATGTACACAAATTGTTGGTCAACTATTCAAGAATGCCCCCAATAATTTCCTTCAAAATTCACTGTAATGTAATGTATAAATTTCCCAAAAATGCCGCAGATTGTGTATTTGTAACAAACATTGCAATCTTAGAACACAAAAATACATTTCATCGCCAAAATATAATTTCTACAAAATTTAGACCATATGGTGGTTAAAATGTCATAGAATCCCATAGGGGCTTGCATCTTTGAGTAGAGTGGCATGGACAAACATCATCCCAGAAGAAAACGTGTCTTAAACGTATCATCAAATACTCTGAAGCGGGTTGGCTTGAATTCATGACATGCTTGAATCTACTTGAAGGCAATGACAAAATATATAAATTCACGAAGTCCAAGGATCTTTTTGTAATTTCAGAAAGTATAATTTTCAAAACCTAATATTCTGCCCAAGCAGGTTGTACCCCTCCCCGTTCAAGTTGCAGCCTTGGCAAACACCCCCATCCCAATCACTTGTCAGATTAGCTCATTTCAAGCTAGTCACTTTTGCTTAAATCATGATATCTCACCACCGTCCATGCATATGCGTTTACCTTAAGCGTTAACTTTACAATAGGGCTCATAGTTCGGTTTCTTTATAAATAGTGATTAACAAAATTAATTTATTATGCTTAGTTTTGATCAGTAAAAATTATTATTGAATTAGGCATCATGGAAGACAGCTACCTCTCTAAATCAGGCGGTTTATTGTTATTTTGTGTTATTTTTCAAGATAACTTTACCTTGGTTCTTATCAATTTGGTATCAGAACATCTTTGAGATCAATGACTTTGGAAAAAATAGACGAATTGGAAGAGAACCCTGGGCACAAATTGGTATTAGAGCATCTTGTTTTGAAATAATGTGGGTGATGACACAGCAAAAGCTGGAGTTGGTGATTGGGCGCGGGTGGAAGAGGCCTGTCGGATAGTATTCCAAACCGGAAGAAAAGCACAGACAAGTAAGCTTTTTCTCCATTTACTTCATCACACCATGCTGCTGTAGTTAAAGTACTAAGCCTTATCTAAGTGCAACTACTAACAACTATAACTAACATATCAACTACCTAGTCTACTTTCAAACTAATGATACCACCTCTATTAGTTGTTAAACAGTTGATAGTTACATCAAACTTAATACGCCCTCTCATCCTTGGACTCACAAAGAAACCTTAAAGAGCCATCTTGGATATAAGAGCTAGCAACTTGGACTTTAGCAACCGCTTGGCAAGATTTCAACAAGTTGAAATTGACTTCGTACTGCACCAACTTACCAGTGTGATCCTATACTTTATCGCGAATGAAGTGGCAGTCGATTTCTATATGCTTGGTACGCCCGTGAAAGGTTGGATTAGATGCTAACTGTATGGCTTAATTGTAATCACAAAACACTAGGGTAGCACCATGAATAATAGCAACAAAATCTTGTAAAAGTTGTTACAGCCAAACAATTTCACTGGTGACAAACCTATATGTCCGCCTCTGTGAAAGGTCGAGAAACAAATGGTTGTTCGTTAGACTTCCAAGATGTCAAAGAGTCTCCAGAGAAAACACAAAAACCCAATGATAGACTTGCGAGTGTCCGGATAACTAGCCCAATCAGAGTCGCCCCTATGTGCTCTGTGTAGCGCAAATGTGTGCTTCTTTCCTTGTCGGGTCCACTAAATGCCTTCACTCGGGACTTGGTGAAAAAAGCATCCCAATTTGCATCACAGAAGGCTCGTAATTGAAAGGACTGCTTGGCAGATAAAAATAACCCTTGACACGGATGCAATGTAATAGAATCTGTATATTTGTAAATAATCCTTGATATCTATTAGCCCCTAATGTAGCCTCAGATTACGATTGTCCTCTGTATATATGCAACCTTTTGTAAATCAATGAGATCAAGGAATCAATCACATTACTTTCATGGTATCATACTAGGCCATCCTACACCAAAACAAAATTCGCCGTCCCCTACCTTGGCTCCACCTCCCTCTCTTCTTCTTCTCACCCTCTTCCAACCTTTTTTCCTCACATCCATGGGTGACACTAAATTTGGTTTCCATCTAGCACTTGTTTCCAACATTCAATCCCATATAAGATTCATTTTCAAGATGAAGAATTTCGAGTACTCTATTTGGGCAAAACTCTTCAAAATTCACGCCTACTCTCGTAAGGTTCTTCACGACATTATCCCATCAAAAGCAGGCAAAGACGAAGCTAGTGCCTCATCCGACAAAGACGAAGAATTATGGGATACCCTCGATGCTACTGGTTTACAGTGGATCTACTCCACCATCTCAAAGGACCAGCTACACACCATTATTTTGAACTGAATACGAAGGCTGTGAGTGCATGGAATAGGCTCCTTGAGTCTTCCAATATAACGAGCATTTTTGTGCCGTCACTTTGGAACAAGAGTTTGCATCGACCAAGATAGAAGATTTTCAAACTGCTTCTGCCTATTACCGTCGGCCGATGTTAGACTAAGTCAACTAGTCTAGTTTATATTATTAATATTGTCTAGGGTCCAAAGTGTAATTAGTTTTACCTATATAAGGTGTATCAGATTATTATTATTATTTTTCAATCAATACAATCAATATCAAGTTTTATATGCTATCAGAGCCTAACCCTAACCCTAACCCTAAAAATCGATCCTTCTACCTAACCCTAATATCGGCGCCCTTCAACCCTAATCTGCCGGCGCTGTCCCTTCAACCCTAATCTGCCGGCGCTGTTCCTTCAACCACTCATCTGCCGGCCGGCGCCCTTTAACCCTAACCCTACAATAGGCACTCTTCAATTCATCAACAATCTGCCGACGCTAAAGACACATCAACTCAGAATTCATGGCAACTATAATCACCTTTTCACATCAGGAGAAAACCATTCACAATTCACACAAATTCTCCTTCTCTCTCAAACCTACCAACTATGGCTA